TAGACTGCAGTTTTAGAAATTGCTAAAAAAAGATTTCAGATGCTCAACTTGAAAAATAGCCTATGCAAGTCTAAAAATACACATTTTCTACATTTCTTAGAAGAAAACAATAAGAGCAGTAAACTAAATAATGAGATCCTCTGTGACTATTTGCAAATTTTTAAGTAGTAGCAATAGGTACTGTAGTAGGCAGTAATGATCCTCCAAAGATGTCCACACCCTCTTCCCTGCAACCTGGGAACATGTTGCCTTACATAGCAAAAGAGACTTTGCAAGATATTGGTCAAATAATAAAAAATTTGTGTTAGAGAGGAGGAACAGGTTCAAGACATCTATTATACAACATGGTGACTATAATTCATAACAATATATTCTATACTTAAAAATTGCTAAAAGGGTGAATTTTAAGTGTTCACACCTCAAAAAAAATTATGGAGAGGTAATGCATATGTTAATTAGAATGATTTGGCCATTCCATGATGTATAGATGTATCAAAACCCATCATGCTGTACAACACTAATTACTTTTGAAAGGAACTTTATAGATGTAATTCAAGTTATTCTGAGATTATCCCGGATTATCAAGATGGTCACAATCTATCACATAATTTCTTAAAAGCAGAGAACATTTCCTGGTCAGAGTCCCATACACATACAGAGGTGTATGATGGAATAAAAGTCACAGAGATTTAGTATTGCTGGCTTTGAAGATGGAGCAAGTGGGCATTAATAAAGGAATGTGGATACCTGTAGCATCTGGAAAAGTCAAGGAAAGATATTCTCCCCTACAGCCTTCAGAGAGGACTGCAATGCTGCTGACACCTTGATGTTAGCCTAGTGAGATGCAGTCAGACTCCTGATCTGCAGAACTCTAAGATGATACATTTGTATTGTTTCAGCCACTAAGTTTGTGACCATTTCTTACAGTAGCAATAGAAAATAAAAATGCTAAGCATTTAATTTCCATTTACCACCCCTTGCTAGCTAAAAACACAAAAGGGTACTTTTTATCAAAGCATTAAATAAAGAATAAGCTAGTTTTAATTTTTCTACAGATAAAGCATATTCTAAAAGACTCTCTAGAGCTTCTCATTCAAAATATGTAGTGCTTTTATGACATCATAACTCAAAGTTAATGACTTTTCTTCCTCAACTAAATTGTAGATACCCTCTTGTTACATAAGTCCCACAAATCTTTCCTATGGGAGACACAAGAGTACAGATTTTCTGTCTCTCCCCAGAATTTATGAGGTTTTACCCAAGTGAATGTATCAAGTTTTTCTATATAATACCTCTCTCAATTTTCAAAACAGTCTAATATTGATCATTCAAAAGATATAATTTGATCTCTGATCAATGAAATCTTATGGACTAATTGGGATTTGGTTGCCCGAATATAGGTGCCCACACACAGACTCTGAGACAAGTATTTAAGTCCAAGTAGTTTATTGGGGGGTGTTTTCAGGAAGCATGGATAAGTCAAACAAGGAAGGGAGAAAAACTTAATAATGGGTATTTTTATAAGAGGGTTACTACTGAGGGCAACGGAGCCACAGTCCCATTGAGAACTCTACAGAGGCTGTGAGGAATTGTCCCAGAAAGAAGAAAATAACACAGGGTATTTATCCACCAACTTCTGTCCCTTGTAGGATGAGGGTTGCTCCCAAGGATGTGAATTTCTCAGCACACCTGGCCCATACTGAACAAGCAGAGACCCCCGATGGTCAGAGAACCTGCTTGGGCATAGAGACACAGAAAACAGCTGACATCATGTTTCAGGGAACTCCAGGCTAAGCTGAAAGGTTATGAATGAGGGACTGACTGTGTCAGTATAATCTATTTCAGGGCAAAGATATGTGAAGTTAAATATGTACTATGCATGGCTTTTCCAATCTCAACAGTGAGCAAAACTCAAAAATGTGAAAATTAACTTGATCTTATTATTTCCACCTGATATCAGACAAGTTGGCATGATCACTTTCTGAGTTTTCTCAGATAATTTTCATGACTTTTTGGTTAGTTCAAATTTAACATTAGGTCACACATAGCTGGCCTTCCTAGGTCATCATGTTTACAAACTATTCATTAGAAAATCTTTGGAAATGAATTGTCTCTACAATGAAATTTTTTCCATACTGAACTCTTTGGGAAATTTAAGTGCTTCCATGTAGGCTTATTAGTAGATAGTGATATCTCATTAGTTATTTGTACCTATTGAATCTATTGCAAATTTTTAATAGACCAAAAAGGCAAATAAAAGCATTTTTACTCATTATTTGGTCAATCCAATGAAATCTCCCAAATAATAACAGATTCCATTATTTCTTTTCTTGGTGGCTGATGGTTCTCAAGTCAACAGCTTACGGAGAGGAGTCATGGTATAAGGGAAAGGGCATTTACTTAAACCCAGACATTCTCAGAGTTCAAGACCCACTTCTACCACATATTATTCTGTGGCTTTGGATAAGTCACTTAACCTGTTAAAAATTTAGTTTTGCATGAACATCACTCTCCATTAAATGAGTGAAGATTGAGTCACTGCGAATGAACAGATTTCTGCACACTATACAATTCTGAGAGTTCATTCTGCTCATATCTTCCCTTTTTTGCCAACTTCTATCCCCAAGTTGTTCCAAGAGCTTCTTCACAACACATTGCCAAGCTCCTGACCTTCCCTTTCTTGCCTATCCCCATTCTGTTATCTCCCTTTTCAGCTGCTTCATCAAGAGAGGAGCTGAGAATCTGGCATCTGTGCAAAAACGTTACCTTGGAGAACACTACAAGGCCATTGCTAATTTTATCTTTGCCTTTAACGTACTAATGGGAAGATTTATTTTTACCTTTAATAATTAGATATCCTAAGTAGAAGGGCATGTGGGTGCTGTTAAGTCTTAGCTCTACGAAGGTGGAGACTATGTATGTTTTATTCCTTGTGATATCCAGGACTTAGCAAATACATAGTACTTAAACATTTGTTGAGGTTATTAGTTGATCCAAAATGCATTTAGTTGTTCAGAGATGCCAAATCTTGCTCAATATTTAGTCTGTGTTTTAGTATTGATCCAAACCTTAAACCTAAACAGAATTCCTCGCTTATTTTAACTGGAGATGGTATGAAGCAATGAGTCACCACTGATTATATATACCAGCAGTACCTGATGCCAAATGTTGGTCTGTTAATATAATTGTGTGTACACAATGCACATATTCCAATATGGTAAGTAAAGTAGAAAAGTTTCAAGAGTGAGAGCATGTAGTAGATATTTCTCAGAAATCCATATGTGATTATCTAACCTTAGCAATTAGAATCAGGGAAGGAAAAGGGGAAGCAGAATTCAGCTGTGTTTTCTTTATATATGCCTTTTGCCCCTGTAAAAAGACAATTTAAAAAAGAAGAAGATCGTGGAGGAGGAAAGGGAAATGAAAAAATATGAAAAGAGGAAAGAGATGGAGAAGAAGAAAAGAAGAAAGTAAAGAAACAACTAATATTAGAAAGTTAGTTTTATTTCAAAATCTTTATTTAAAAAAATGCTTTGCACAGGGCAATAGAGCTCAGTGAAAATAACACCCTCTCTTTAACTTGTCTTTCTAAGTAATGTGAGGCAGTCGGGCCAACAATAGTGCTCCCCTCTACCTTTTCATCTCTCCATTTCCTAAATTTTAGAAGAAAATAAACCTGCAAGAGTTTAGCCCCCAAATCCCAGTGAAACAGCTATGGAAGAGAGAGACCAGTGAAATCTATTTCTACTTTGATGATAAAGCTTGGGAGAAACATGTTAAAATTTTTGAACTCAAAACACAACTGGGCTGGACACACTTGGTGTTAACTCTACCTCTTCCTTTGGCCTCAGGCCTTATCTTATTCTTCCAGCATTCCTTGAAATGGGAAAGGTGGGTACCCTTGTATGCAAGTCACGGTCAGGAGAAGCATTAGCATGTCCACCTTCAAAAGCCACATCATCCTGAAGTTGAACTGAACCCGGTACAAGGGAGCTGAGGTACAGGACATGAGGCTCTGGCAACAGGGGCCATTTCTTTCTTTTCGTTTTTGTGGATGTGTTTGTTTGTTTCTCTCCGCTGCACCAATAAATCAGTTTCTTGGAATCTGATGCTAAAGAAGTCTTGACTCAGGAAAACCACAAGGGTAGGCTTCGGAAGACTCAACAGGTTGTAATGGCTCTCCAACAAATCATGTTACCATGCCATTTGATGATGATAGGAAGAAACAGAGCTTTGAAGGTTCATGCATTGAGAGAACAAGAGTTACTGAGTTTCAGGACTGGGACCCTGCAGTCACCAACCACCTCACACCTGCATTGGTAAGAAACCAAGCTACATCATGATTTTTGTTCTACCTCAGCAGATATTTTATAGGTGGAAAAACTGATGCATAAAGTGGATAAATGCCTCCCCCAAGGTAATGAGACAAAGATAATACAGTCACCAAATATTGTCACCCCAGTTTCTGTCTTACTGGAATTCTTGATGGGTTGGTACCCCCTTATTATAGTACTGATTTTAATATAGGTAGGTTTTGAATGTTGGGTTTTAAAAAATCTTTTTAACTCATTTTTAAATATCTTTTTAACTCATTTTTAAATTATGGAAATATATACATCACATGAAACTTATAATTTTAATCATTTTTAAGTATACAGTTTAGTTGCATCAAGTACATTCACACTGCTGTGCAGTGATTCATCATTATAACTTTTTCATCTGCTCCAACTGAATCTCTGTACTCATTAAACAATAACTTCCCTTTCCCTCATCCCTCCAGCCCCTGGCAACCACCTCTGAATGTTATTTTGTAGCAAAAAGAAATATTAACTTTTGAGCTTGGTTTACAACCAAAAACAACAACTACATGAAGGAGGGAGGCATTGGGAAAAAGAGGTTAACTCAGAACTCAGTGTACTTAGAAGACTCTGTGAGTGTGCTGTGTGCATGTGTCTTTAAAAGACTCTCCACCTCCCAGCCCGCCTCCTCACACTTTGCCACTGAGTTGTTCAGTCCCCAGGTTCCCTCGGTCCCCAGAAGGAGCCAGCATGGACAATCTCCTTTATAGCTTTGGAAGCAGGTTTGTTGCCACGGATTTCACATTTTGACTAGAGTTGAGAAGTATAAAGGTAACCATTTGTTTTAGTTTCAACGATCTGGCAAAAAGCCTGTTGCTCTTCTTCTGGAAAAGCCTGATTGGTAAGATTCCTTTAAGGACTCAGCCCCAAAGAGCTTTATCCCATCCCCTCACAGACTGAAAACTAAAGCTTGCAGAGACCTCTGAAGGAAAACCTGTCCCGAGCTCTGTCACCTCACACCCATGGCTAACCCTGGAGGTGGTACTGTTTGCAATGGGAAACTTCACAATCACAAGGAACAGAGCAATGGCTCACAACACAGAAACTGCACAAAGAATGGGATAGTGAAAGAAGCCCAGGTAAGAATCACTCTCCCCCACTCTTCTCTGAATTACTTGAACGTTTCAGTATTTCTTTGTGAAGATATTTGGGGCTGTCCTAATTTAAAGTTCCACTTATGAAGTGTTTTTAGGTGTTTTGACTGTGATTCTGCTAATAGAAAGTGCTAGGCTGCCAAAAAGTTTAGGTGTGGATTAAGGAGAAAATTTCTTCTGTATGCAAAAGAGATTACACAGAGACACAGCTTTAGGCTCTCTAAAATAAAAATGTACGTACTGGACTTTTGTCTCAGGCATTTTGTTGGGAGGGAAGAATTATGATGGCTCCAATTCTGCATATAGTTTAGTCTAAGAGACCTGCTACAACCATCATGCTTCAGAAGAAAAAGAGGAAGTGAAAGCACATTTTGCTGACATTATGTGGTGGAGATGGCATTCTTCCCAGGTCCATGAGAAGTGCATCTCTGTTTGAAAGGCGAGTTATTATTGGTGTTTAATGGAGCATTGTTATAGCTTACTACTTGATTTGAGGCCGCAGTAGTTCTTTGAAATGTGACGTCACAGACAGTCTTTTCCAAAACACTTAAGAAAGCATGGCTCATTGTGACACACTGCACTCAGAAAACAGAACAGCATCTTTGAAACAGACTTGTAAATATTTTCCAACTTGACACTTTTTTTTTTGCTCCTGTTGCAGCAGGATGTTTACAGAGTATACTAGGCAGAAGGAACTCAAAGAAAGTCATCAGCTTATTTTAAGAGAGAGCCTGGGTCTGCTAGGTCCTTCTGTAAGGCAATTCCCCACTGCCCACAGGACACCCCATGTCACTCTGCTCTGAGCAGCAGTGGTGAGCTCAACTGCCTCAGAAGCAAGCCCAAGTAGTCAAACAGGTAGCCTCCTGTTGGGAAAGAGAAGTGGCACTGGGAGCCCCATGCAATCTTCTATCATTTGATCATCCTGAGAGCCGGTATCCACCCACAGGAAAGGCAGATTGTTCTAAGATCACAGAACAGGTGGGTCTGGCTGGGGCCGGTCCTCCACTCAGTGAATTACATTCATGTAACTGGAAGAGGCTAAAGAAGCTCTGGAGCCTGAGTTGTGTGTAAACAGGCTGTGGTCCCCAAAAGCATTCCCTCTTAACAGAAGGCATTGCCCGACCCTGGGAAGCGTCTATCAGAAACCTCAGAACTCAGAATTGGCCTGTCCCAGCTAAGGATCTGAAACCTGGAGCAATGTGAAAAGAAGGTGCTTAACTCTTGTCAGTTGTGTGAAGGAAACTGCAGTAATATCCACCCCTTATGCATCACTAATTGTCCGTTCAGGCCACTATTCAAAATGGTCCTTGCCTCTGGAATGCCTGTAACTCACAGGTTATTCACCTACTTATCCTTTTGATTATTCTAACCCTGAGGGATGCCTGGGAAGAGATGCCTTCCTAACTTTTCTTCCTTTTATTTATTTTATCTTGGTTTAATAATCACGTTGTAAGTATGAGATTAGAAGCTTAGACAGTTACAACCACTCCTGAGTAACCATAAAACCCTGGATTCTAAAGGTTCATTATGAAGTGCAGCTGCAAGACTGTAACTATCCTTGGACACTGTGACTTCCCTAAGAGTAGTTGAAAATATCAGGGCTGCTGTTGCCTTTCTGAAGGGCCATCCAGAGCCCGTTGGCTCAGACATACTTAGGTGTCACTAAGCTACAACTGGCCTTCATTAAGAGCCCCCAATTATGGCTTAAAAAATATTATTCAAAAAACCAAAAAACTTGTCTGAGATCATAGTGTAATAAGGCAAACAAGAGCTTATTTTCTCCTCCATGATGGTAATAAAGTTGTCTTTGCTCTCATGTTCCTTGGCCACTAGTTTTGATCCTTGGGGCCCTTTAAAAAACTAGGTCTGGAATAAAAGCCTTGCCTGTTGATAGAAGCAGTCTGCAAAGGCTTACGGAATCCTAGGCTGCTGGTCTCCCAGACAGGCTCTGCCTGGCTTAAGGTCCTCTGGTGCAGCATCTAAGATCCTGTCAGCCCCTCCAAAGATCCTCACACCCTTTCTCTTCCCACTTATTTGCTACCACACAACAACATGGTTGTCTCTTTTATATCAGGGGACCCTACAAGATTCTGTTGACAAAGGGTTCCCTGGCATAACAAACAATATGAAAATTACTATTAGGCAGTACTCAGGAGTCCTCCTTCCCTCTGGTCCAATGTAGTCTGCCATCTCTGCTCCAGCATGCCGGCTTGCTGCCCCAGTCTCAAGGCTGGCAAGGACCAGAGCCTTTCCATTCTAGAAACCTTCTAGATTTCCTTTCTGGAGAATTTATGGAGATTGACTATTTTTCCTTTTTTTTTTTTCTTTAAATTTCACATGCCCAGAGGATGAAAAAAATTGGTTTTCATCACTAAGTCCATTTACTTGTTTATTCCTACCATGGCCTCCTCCCTTTTCCTTCTAACAGAACACTATTGTACCAGCGGATTTGTTCTCCCTCCTTATGAGCATATCTACACTACAGACAGATGGGTGCTTAATGTCTTCATCTATAAATTTGATATTTCTTATAATTTTTATTGAATTAAAAATTTTTCTCATGAATAGGAATTTCCTATTCCCTATTTAATTCTATATAATTACTTGCAACTATTATCCACACTATTGCTTTTTAATTCCCAGCAATTATTTCTTACCTGGCCATAAACTTTTATTAGGAAAACCAAATCCGAGGAAAGTAGACCTTTTGTCTCCATTGCATTTTCCCAGAAATAGTTTCTTAAGAGGATGGGGTCTGCATTTACTTCTAGTAAACTAAACCTGCAGGATGAAAAAAAAATTGTGAAGTTTTCCCTAATCATTCCTTTCCTAGAAACAAAAATGTTTGGGGATTAGAATTACTCTAATTCAAGGTTTATTGAGTTCTTGACCTGAATGTTGTCATATTACCAGGTATAGATAATGAGCCCTAACAGGTTGTTGCTTTTTTTTTTCACCAATATTTATTAAGCATCTGTTATTCTTAAGACATATAAAGAAAAATAAGAAGCTTATAATTTATCTGTTAGGAGAAAGCTTATCTCAACATTAAAATAAGAACATCAAAGTTAAATGCTTGTGCAAGGACAAGAGCTGTCATAAAGAAGACATAACTTGAGGACAAATGAGTGGTATAGATATTAGTACTAGAAGTTGGAAAAGAGCAAAAATAATAATGAATATCAAAGTTCTGCTATGTATCAGGAAGGACTAAGCACTTGACGTAGACATCTCCTGTACCTTGAAGACAGCCCCATGAAGTGGTAGTATCCTGCCCATTATACAAATTAGGAAAGATAAATCACCAGGGAACTTCTGCAGAATTACAATCAGCATGGCCAGGATTTGAACCCAAATCCACGTTGTTCCAAAGCCAGTTCCTTTCTCAGTACATTCTAGGAAATCACAGGTTGGGGTAGTCAGTGACAGCTTCTCAGAGCAGGGAAGACTCAGATTGAACCTTGAGACATTATAATGGTAGATAACACAAAGAGCTTATTCCTGGGGACCAAATGAGGAAAAGACAGGAAGGGAACCCCGGAGATGAATGTAGCGGTTGCTAGCAAAGGGCATAAGAAAGGTCATGAAGCACACCAGGAAGCTGTGAGGCACAACAGGTCATATGACTTTTGAGAAACTTCTCTCAATTCAGTGAGGCTTCATTGCAGACAATGAGAGGCAGTGCTGTGCCTGAGGTGGTGCTCAGCAGATACTGGAAGAAGAGAAAGGATTAATCCACATTATGGAAATTATTTCCAGTTTTAGAACCATTTAAGCTGAACTTCTGTTCTCCCCACATTTCTATATCCTCTTGAAGCCTGCAACATCCTGGTACAGCTGCTCTTCTGCTGTGACATAAACTTCTAGAGAATGAGGGCCATGGCTGATTGGTAGTTTAATTGTGAACAGTGGCAGCTGCTGATAGCCATGTTAAGTACCAGTGTCTGTAGGGCTCACCTAGGCTACCCCCTGATTGAAATAGGGTCAATATTCTCACCAATTACTAGAAGAATTCATAAACTAGAAGTTTTGGAAATCTCTTTCAACTGCTCTGAATCTTCATTTTACTCTTGCCTTTGGTATTCATTTTCTAATGTCTTTGTTTCTTGGCTCCTATTTCCTTAAAAAAAATCCCCAGGGTGACAAGGCTTCTCTATGAACTCCTTGAGGAATCCTCATTTTTTCAGGGGTTCATCATTTGTAAAGCATTCTTGTGTGTCAGGTGCTGCAGTCATTAAGATGAAAATATTCTCCCTCCATTTATAAATAGCTCACAGTCTAAGTGAGAAAGAAACACAAGCAATTAGATTATTTAATGGTAAGTACTGTAATAAATGTTGTAGTTATCTATTCCTGTGTAAAAGCCAGCCCAAAACCCAATGGCTTGAAACAACGACTATTGGATTGTTCATGATTCAGGCAGGGGCTGCTAGGGATTGACCTTTTCTACCCCACATGGTGTTTGCTGTGGATCAACTTGTCTGAGCATCCAACATAGCCCCATTCGCATGTCCCAGACCTTGGTACTAGCTGTTGTCCAAATAACCTTGTGTCTACATCACCAGGACACCCTCTGCATGTGGTTTCATTATTCTGCAGAGTAGTCCAGGTTTTTTTACAGGATGACTGGCTTCTAAGAGAGTAAAAATAGAAACTATAAGACCTCTTTTATGTCCTAGGGACATCTCTGCTACATTCTGTAGTCAAAGCCAGTCATAGTGCAGCTAAGATGCAAGGGGAGGAGAAACACATGCTACTTTTTAATGAGAGGAGCCGCAAAGTCACATTGAAAAAGGCTGTAGGGAATTAGATTATTGTGACCATCTTTGGAAATAGTCTACCACAATGGAAATATATGGACCTTGCATGGGAACACAGAAAAATGTATATCTGACCTAGTCTGGGAAGACAACTTGCTTCAGAGAGACATTTGACTCAAGTCTCAAAAGCAGAGTAGTCAGACGTAAAAGCATGGAAAGGCATTC